CGCCAAGCCATTACGACTATATAGCACTGGGAAGGGGTCAGGATAAGGATTTGGGATGGGACGGGGGGAAAGGAATGGTGCCCCCAACCACTCGTGGACGGTCGGGGATTGAACGCCGACCTGCATGAAGCGAGACCGTTGCTCTACCGTCCAGCCCAAGTGGTTGGGTGTAATAGGTACAAGTCACATACCCACACACCCTTAACAGTCAGGTGGCGGGGGAGGGGAAAGAGACAGAGGGGAGGAGAGAGGAAGAAAGGGAAGGAAAGGGGATGAGAGGGGGGAAGACATTTCCTCTCTTAACTGATAACAGTCATCTTCGCACACTCCTCTGATAACACTGCTCTTGTGTGGTACATGGTCGACCATCTTGCTTGCTTCATCCCAGTTTGATACCACAATCGACGCTCTAATTAGCAGTTAGGAGGAGTAATTGTTGCCGACCGCCGTCTGAAGTGGGTAGTAGAGAGGGACGTGCACTGAGGGCGTCTGACGCGGGTCATGAAGGAGCACAAGATGCTGGTAACAAAAGAAGCAGAAGGAAGTAAAGCGCACGAGACAAGGTAGGTGGAAAGGTGAGACAAGGGACAGTGCAAAGGTGAGACAAGGGACAGTGCAAAGGTGAGACAAGGGACAGTGCAGAGGTGAGACAAGGGACAGTGCAGAGGTGAGACAAGGGACAGTGCAAAGGTGAGACAAGGGACAGTGCAGAGGTGAGACAAGGGACAGTGCAGAGGTGAGACAAGGGACAGTGCAAAGGTGAGACAAGGGACAGTGCAAAGGTGAGACAAGGGACAGTGCAAAGGTGAGACAAGGGACAGTGCAAAGGTGAGACAAGGGACGGTGCAAATGTGAGACAAGGGACGGTGCAAAGGTGAGACAAGGGACAGTGCAAAGGTGAGACAAGGGACGGTGCAAAGGTGAGACAAGGGACGGTGCAAAGGTGAGACAAGGGACGGTGCAAAGGTGAGACAAGGGACGGTGCAAAGGTGAGACAAGGGACGGTGCAAAGGTGAGACAAGGGACGGTGGAAAGGTGAGACAAGGGACAGTGCAAAGGTGAGACAAGGGACAGTGCAAAGGTGAGACAAGGGACAGTGCAAAGGTGAGACAAGGGACAGTGCAAAGGTGAGACAAGGGACGGTGCAAAGGTGAGACAAGGGACGGTGCAAAGGTGAGACAAGGGACGGTGCAAAGGTGAGACAAGGGACGGTGCAAAGGTGAGACAAGGGACGGTTCAAAGGTGAGACAAGGGACGGTGCAAAGGTGAGACAAGGGACGGTGCAAAGGTGAGACAAGGGACAGTGCAAAGGTGAGACAAGGGACAGTGCAAAGGTGAGACAAGGGACAGTGCAAAGGTGAGACAAGGGACAGTAAGGAAGTAAATTAAGTTGCCGAGAGCAGCAGTTAAGAAAATGAGGCTGCAGGAGTAGGTCTTGATGAGCGTGGTGACGATGGGAGCCCCAACGGACGTCTCATTATCGGTAACACACACCTGTCACACACCTTTCACTCACCTGTCACTCACCTGTCACGCCTTCCCCCCCCCCCTCCCGTCCACCCTACACGCCCATCAAAATTACCTCTTGGTACAAAAATATAAAAATTGTCTAATATAACATGTCGCAATACAAGCATCATATATTTATACACATCTTGGCAACACAAAAGAAATGGCTTAGACGGTAACTCTCTCACATGTTTACTCAACATGAGTGTTTATGTAAGACTTGACTCACAGCTAGTGAGTATCTCTCGGAAGCATTATTATATTACAGACGTGTGAAATATTGCTCAAACATTAATACAATGTTTTGTAATTAATTAAGTGGACAGTGCTAGAAAACTGTCTCGTCTTAGTGCTGGAGCCATAATGACCCCTCTCTCAGCAGTCAGCCTTACTGACTTCCCCTCTCAGTAGCCAGCCTTACTGACCCCCCTCAGCAGTCAACCTTACTGACCCCTCCCCCCTCTCAGCAGCCAGCCTTACTGACCCCCCCTCCCCTCAGCAGCCAGCCTTACTGACCAACTTAATCTAGTCTTTCTGTCAAAATGATGGACCTCAGGAGCAGGAGGACTGTCACCCTCAAGCTTTACAACTGGCACCTATAGCATTATTAATATATATAAACTGCACTTCAAATAAGTATTTTGCTTTACTCCTGCATGGCCCACTCTGCCTCACATGTCTGAAGTGAACTGTGTGCAAGGAACTGATTTCTCCTGCTACTTAGGGAGAGGGGGGGAGGATGGGGGGGAGTGGCCTTCAACATACAAAGCAAAGAAGTTCATTAAAAGTTAAGAGTTGTTTCATTATCATAAAAGAATTTAATTTCCATCTTCTAACAGCATTTAGATAAACATTCAAGATTCGTCCTTTCAGTTCTGGGGATTTATAACCAATATTTTTCGTTTGCATCATCAAATGCGTTAATTAATAGCTGAAATAATATTGCTCCAGTTGGACGCTAATAAAGACATTCAGTAAAGACCACTTACAAGGAAAAGTGTGAGCAGGACAAGGAGGACCGACATCAGATTATAGGAGAAAGTTACCTCCGCTACGTGAGTGTGGCGGCACCCAGACAACCAACCTCCCCAGGCTGTGGGGAGAGGTATGGTGGAGCTGTCGGGATGTGGGGGTGCTGGTGGAGCTGTCGGGATGTGGGGGTGCTGGTGGAGCTGTCGGGATGTGGGGGTGCTGGTGGAGCTGTCGGGATGTGCTGCATTTTACACTAAGCAACCTGACAATGTATTCAAGTTGACGCGTCTCTCAGTTTCTCACACATTTAAATGCATTATTGATTCGTGCCACTAATCGCTTTCTTGTCAAATGAAAGAAAAAATAAAGTTTGTGAGACCTCTGGCGGCTCCAGTCATAAATTTCTAAGTCATAAGCCTAGCCGTTCGTCTGCACATAAAACTGTTGCAGGAACTCCCCCAAGGGTGACGAGTCAGCAGCTGGACCTGAGAGCACCCGGACGACAGTGTGGACCACATCAACTATGAGCGAACCAACGCTGCTGCTCCCAGTTACAAAAGGAAGAATGACTCCAGTCCCGACAGAGACGACCCTCACATTCCCGTCACCAAGGCCAACAGGAAGAGCCACGTACCCCACTAGAAATCACCGAAAAAAGATGCCTCTTCCGATAAATTCTCCAACTACCCAGACAAGCTCTCCACTGACAGTATTCAAGGTGCAGCATGCTGAGGGCAAGACCTCGTATGCCACAGTAGTGGACCTTGAAGAACAGTATCCCCAGCTCAAGATACAAGCAAAGCCAAACCTCAGAAGCAAATATATTCTGAGACCCAAAGAAGAAATTGCTGAAACTATCTTGAAGAAACACAGAATGCGACGAACTCAAGCCACAGGACAAAATACGGAAAGTCACTGTCCTCCACTATCCCCCAGCACATGGCCCTAACTCATTTAGATAAGCTGAATTATATGGTGCCAGCAGAAAGATGCCAGGTAAAATCCACGAAGCAGGAAACTCGACAAGTCCTCACTGTAAAAGGACGGTTACAAGAGAAGCTTGATCTTGGGATTTCGGGCGTGTTCCAACACGGGCCTTACACCCCAGAGCCCCTCAGATGCTTCAGATGTCAGATTTGGACATCACAAGGACGGCTGCCAACGCCCAGTGAGGTGTGGAGTCTGAAGCCAGCCCCACGACACTAAAATATGCCTTTATAAACACAAGGCTAACCAGCCAGTTCAAGCAAAGTGGTCAAATTGCTCCAAGGCACACCACGCCTGGAACCTAAGATGCCCCAAAAGGCTTAAAAGGATCCAAACGACCCCCCCCCCCACGTCCACAGCAGTGGGGCAGAAGGGTCAACCCAACTATATAGCAGTTCCCCTGCCCACAAAACAGCGTGGAGATTAACAAGACCAAATCAGGTGGAAGGAGCACATGCCACCTCGGCCATGGTGGAGGGTAAGAAGGTCCAAGACGGAGGGTGGCTGAGGGCCACAAGAAAATAGTTCAATGTAATCGCCAGCTCATTGCACCCAGTAAGCACAATCAGGGCAATAAAGCAAAGAGTGTCCGAGTTTTCACTGATAAGGGCCATAGAGTAAACAGACCCCAAACCAGCTCAGCAGTAAATAATACTTCCACACAACTGGACACCCTCTGGCCAATTCTTAAGGCCATTACCTCAGAATTGGTCCAAATCTAGCTTTCGAAACACGGTATCAAACAAACCACAGAGACTCAAAAGACAATTGAGGATAAGCTCAAGAAATCTAAACAAACAATATCCACAACTTTAAAGACGCAGGGCAGAAAAGACCCACACGAAAACAGGTAGAGTCCAGTACGACCTTAATGAGTCAGTTTCAAGTCCACCAAGATTCTCAACTCCAATTTCAACTTCCATGACGACTTCATCTGACTTCCTCCATGGATGCCACAGTAATATCAACAAGTTTCAACAGCCAAGAAAACTGAAGATACTGCAGTGCAATGCACAAGGGCTGCACACAAAATTGCAACACTTGCAATGCAGAGCAGCAACCAAAGACAGACATCTTGCTACTACAGGAGAACTTGCTTCAAGACGGATTAGAACCAAAAATCTCAGGCTAACGAGGCTTCTTCCTTTCATGGGTCAACGGGCAATCCTAGGGATGTGCCATCTATGTGAAAAGTGACCTGATTTCCAAGGCCATACTTAGTCCACCTAATTGTGGGCCGAAAGCAGAGGTTATGGGAGTATCCATTCAGTAAAGACACGACAAACTTGAAGTGTTTAATGTTTACAGATTTCCACATGCAAAAATGGATCTTTCACTGTTATTTGGACATGCTACCACCTCAAACACAATCATTTGTGGTGATTCAATGCCCATTATCGTTTGGCACTGGGCTCGAACACAACAAATTAGGCCAGCACTCACATGGCACATTTATTAGGTCAGCTACTAGAAATTCAAATCCTAAACAGGGATGAACCCACCGACATTGAAGGAGGTACACTAGACCAATCAAAGTAGCAATCAAAGTAGGATTTTCTATGATTGCGCCAACAATCCTAAGGCGCATCATAGAAAATCAAATGAATAACATTGCAGTAGCAGGAACCACCCACATCTTCACAGACGGATCGGTGGATACAGACATGAGAATGCTGGTGCTGCTCTTTGCACGGACAGCGAACAGGCATATTGGAGATTGGGAGGACCAGTATCATCAACCCAAACAGAGCTGTTTACCATACATTCGTATATGTGATGGCACAAAACACTCAGAATGCAATCATACACACAGACTCAAAAGCTGCACCTCAAATATTAGGACAAAAGCAGTGGAATGACAACGTGGAAATAGTTACCACAATTGTGTATCTAAGAGCAGTAGCTAAAGGTAAAGGACTTAACATAACCCTAAACTGGATCCCGTCCCATGTTGGAATCCCATTAAATGATAAACTGCTAGATAGGAAACTCTTCATAACATAAGTACATAAAAAACACCATCACCAAAAAACTCGCCCACCTCAACAAAGCCCATCTGCAACAGAGAAGCAGAAGGTATCTTCAGGCCACCAAATTAGACAGGTTAAATATCCCAAAAGGAATCCACAGGGAAATAGCAGTTCGGTTATATAGACTACGTCTATAAACCGTCTGGGAAATTAGTAGACTCAGACAGTGGGAATGCATCTTCTGGGAAACAATAACAGAAAAGCCACTACTTCACTATCTCCTGGAATGTGAAGCAACCAACGACTTTGGGAGAGCTTTAAGAGTCCCTGACTCTTGCAGTAGCCACCCTGAAGCCATCAGCACTGCCACTCTTCTGGTCACGAAAGGTGTCCAGCAATTGATTGATTGATGAAGATTAAACCATCCAAAAGGTGACACGGGCATGAATAGTCCGTGGTGGCCCTTTTGAGCCATTACCAGTATCAAGAGCTGATACTGGAGATCTGTGGAGGTGCGACTGCACCTTGCGTGACGGGAGATGTCTCCCGTGATGTCCAGCAGCTGGACACCCTCATATATACTGTCAAGCAGTATCCTCCACCGCGATAGCAGCCACATAGGACTGACGATTTAAATGCGAGCTCAGCACACAGTATATCCTTTCGCTAAAAAATATCACATTCACCCCAAAAAATCTACCACTTACGGGCTATTCATGGCCGTGCCACCTCTTGGGTGTCTTAATCTTCATCAATCAATCAATTACCAAGGGTTGCCTGGGAAGTCAGTCTTAATATCAAGGCACATGATGGGGGGACTGGCTGAATGATACGGTGCAGTGGAACTTGAAAACTAGTGAAGGTAGAATGAGGAGGAAGGGATGAAAACCAGTAAACGCAGAGCTATGAAGGATGAAAACAAGTGAAGGTCCAGGGAGAAGGGAAGGGATCAAAACAAGGGTCCACAGGTGTTGTCATGGTAGCACCAATATTATGGTGAGTGAGCAAGCCTCCGTGAAGCACACGGAGGTTCACTCTCTGACCCGCAACTATACAATATACACGTCACATGCCCCACACGACTGACACAATGTCATATATATCAACAACTCCCCCACATGCGGCAGAGACAACACACGTCGACGAGCAAAGAGATATAATTGATTACTTTTTGATTTCGCGAGATCTACTCCTACAGCGAAAGTCCAACTCTTGCCCCCACGAATTCTATTCTTGCAGCGAGTACTTCTTTCGCAGCGAGTTCTACTGCGGCAGCGAGAGTTCTACTGCGGCAGCGAGAGTTCTACTGCGGCAGCCGTGCCTGGTCCCTGCCTGGTCTATGAGGCTGATACAGTTGAACAGTGAAGTAATTTATCATTTGGAAACAACAGTGGCATGAAGATCGCCGGTAAAATTGTTGGTATCTCAAGACAAAAATATTTAGAAATATAAATCTTATTATAAATATAAAAGCTCAACTTCCCCCTTACTTGTCCTGTATTTATTATTTATGCAAAGAAACATTTGTTTGTTAGAATTTGCTTGTTGAACGATGAAGAGACAGAACGTGTCAACACTGCTGGGGAAGAGACAGAACGTGTCAACACTGCTGGGGAAGAGACAGAACGTGTCAACACTGCTGGGGAAGAGACAGAACGTGTCAACACTGCTGGGGAAGAGAAAGAACGTGTCAACACTGTTGGGGAAGAGACAGAACTTGTCAACACTGCTGGGGAAGAGAAAGAACTTGTCAACACTGTTGGGGAAGAGACAGAACGTGTCAACACTGCTGGGGAAGAGAAAGAACTTGTCAACACTGTTGGGGAAGAGACAGAACGTGTCAACACTGCTGGGGAAGAGAAAGAACTTGTCAACACTGCTGGGGAAGAGACAGAACGTGTCAACACTGCTGGGGAAGAGAAAGAACGTGTCAACACTGTTGGGGAAGAGACAGAACTTGTCAACACTGCTGGGGAAGAGAAAGAACGTGTCAACACTGCTGGGGAAGAGAAAGAACGTGTTAACACTGCTGGGGAAGAGAAAGAACGTGTCAACACTGCTGGGGAAGAGAAAGAACGTGTCAACACTGCTGGGGAAGAGACAGAACGTGTCAACACTGCTGGGGAAGAGACACAACGTGTCAACACTGCTGGGGAAGAGACACAACGTGTCAACACTGCTGGGGAAGAGACACAACGTGTCAACACTGCTGGGGAAGAGAAAGAACGTGTCAACACTGCTGGGGAAGAGACACAACGTGTCAACACTGCTGGGGAAGAGACACAACGTGTCAACACTGCTGGGGAAGAGACAGAACGTGTCAACACTGCTGGGGAAGAGAAAGAACGTGTCAACACTGCTGGGGAAGAGACAGAACGTGTCAACACTGCTGGGGAAGAGAAAGAACGTGTCAACACTGCTGGGGAAGAGAAAGAACGTGTCAACACTGCTGGGGAAGAGACAGAACGTGTCAACACTGCTGGGGAAGAGACAGAACGTGTCAACACTGCTGGGGAAGAGACACAACGTGTCAACACTGCTGGGGAAGAGAAAGAACGTGTCAACACTGCTGGGGAAGAGACACAACGTGTCAACACTGCTGGGGAAGAGAAAGAACGTGTCAACACTGCTGGGGAAGAGACAGAACGTGTCAACACTGCTGGGGAAAAGAAAGAACGTGTCAACACTGCTGGGGAAGAGACAGAACGTGTCAACACTGCTGGGGAAAAGAAAGAACGTGTCAACACTGCTGGGGAAGAGAAAGAACGTGTCAACACTGCTGGGGAAGAGACACAACGTGTCAACACTGCTGGGGAAGAGACACAACGTGTCAACACTGCTGGGGAAGAGAAAGAACGTGTCAACACTGCTGGGGAAGAGACACAACGTGTCAACACTGCTGGGGAAGAGAAAGAACGTGTCAACACTGCTGGGGAAGAGACAGAACGTGTCAACACTGCTGGGGAAAAGAAAGAACGTGTCAACACTGCTGGGGAAGAGACAGAACGTGTCAACACTGCTGGGGAAAAGAAAGAACGTGTCAACACTGCTGGGGAAGAGAAAGAACGTGTCAACACTGCTGGGGAAGAGACACAACGTGTCAACACTGCTGGGGAAGAGACACAACGTGTCAACACTGCTGGGGAAGAGAAAGAACGTGTCAACACTGCTGGGGAAGAGAAAGAACGTGTCAACACTGCTGGGGAAGAGACAGAACGTGTCAACACTGCTGGGGAAAAGAAAGAACGTGTCAACACTGCTGGGGAAAAGAAAGAACGTGTCAACACTGCTGGGGAAGAGACAGAACGTGTCAACACTGCTGGGGAAAAGAAAGAACGTGTCAACACTGCTGGGGAAGAGACAGAACGTGTCAACACTGCTGGGGAAAAGAAAGAACGTGTCAACACTGCTGGGGAAAAGAAAGAACGTGTCAACACTGCTGGGGAAGAGAAAGGAACAACGGGGTAAGGGAGGCGGACACCTGCCAACGTTCACAACCATTAAAATTATTACAATATCGTCATAAAACATACAACATCCATAACAGGTCGTGTCAGGCAGCCATCGACGCACATAAACAAGCTTGAAGAGCTATATTTAATTGATTATGAATTTATAAATTAATTTATATTCGAATTACAGAAAAAAAACTAGTTATAAAACGACATTAAAGTAATTAATTGTGTTAATTATATAAATCGTTTTACATACCCTCCTACTATATAACCTATCAAATTACCAGCCTGCTAATCCAGCTCCCAAACGACATAAACACCCGCCCCAATAACTACCCCGGGAGCCGGTCGGCCGAGCGGACAGCACGCTGGACTTGTGATCCTGTGGTCCTGGGGTTCGATCCCAGGCGCCGGCGAGAAACAATGGGCAGAGTTTCTTTCACCCTATGCCCCTGTTACCTAGCAGTAAAATGGGTACCTTGGTGTTAGTCAGCTGTCACGGGCTGCTTCCTGGGGGTGGAGGCCTGGTCGAGGACCGGGCCGCAGGGACACTAAAAAAGCCCCGAAATCATCTCAAGATAACCCCCCACCCCCCCCCACCCACATCCCTAACCCACCTCCCTACCTATATCGTCACACTATTCTCTGAGAAAGGAGAGGTGGTGACGGCCGCTCTTACCTGGATAAGCGAGAGTGTGTCACTAATTACTCATAAATTTCAGTTGTAGAGGGTAACGAGGCGATCATCACTCGGAGCCTCAGCCCGCCCGTCTCCCTGATGCACTCTGACGCCTTCATCATCACCAGGGACTCTCCCCTCTCCCCTGGGGCGAGGAGGGCGATCTGGGGAGGGGGGAGGAAGAGAAAGGGACAGAGAAAGTGTAAGGAAATAAAGAAGAGAAAGGGACCAGCGACTATAAAAAATATTGCCGGAACAACCGTGGACATCTTCAAGAGAAAACTGGACTGTTTTCTCAGAGAAGTTCCGGATCAGCCGGGCTGTGGTGGGTATGTGGGCCTGCGGGCCGCTCCAAGCAACAGCCTGGTGGAGCAAACTCTCACAAGTCGAGCCTGGCCTCGGGCCGGGCTTGGGGAGTAGAACAACTCCCAGAACCCCATCAAGCAGGTAACCAGGAGACAGGTGGAAAGAGTAACGGAGATAGAGGGGGAAGAGGGAGGTAGGGAGGACGGTCATCATCAGGAGAAACCTTAGAAAATGTATAAAATGATATATAAAGTGCTTTGATGCTAGCCGATCAAGAGGGGTATAACCAGGCACGCATATCTCAGAATACGAGAAAAGTGGTGCAATGAGTACCGGGCCGTGAAGGGGGCAATGATTACAGGGCGCTGTAATAAGCAGTGGAGGAGGCAGTGGAATTATTGGTGGTAGCAGTGATGGTGGTTGTTTGTAATGGTGGTGGTGGTGATTGTAGTGGTGGATGGTGGTTGAAGTGGTATGATGGTAATGGTGGTTGTAGTGATGATAACTACTGAGGTAGTGCTCAATTAAAGTGGTGGATGGTTGTGGCTTACACAACTTCTTCCTTAAGTGTATTCAACTTCTTCGCCACCCGTAAAGATTACGAGTATTTCCTTACATTTTTCTAATCATTTGCATTCCATCTTCCACCCATGGTGTTGGTGAGCCCGAGCCGACAAGGGCAGGCAAAACAGTGAACATAGACCCGGAGCCGGTCATAAGGCCGGTCGAACATAAGGGAGCCGGTCGGCCGAGCGGACAGCACGCTGGACTTGTGATCCTGTGGTCCTGGGTTCGATCCCAGGCGCCGGCGAGAAACAATGGGCAGAGTTTCTTTCACCCTATGCCCCTGTTACCTAGCAGTAAAATAGGTACCTGGGTGGTAGTCAGCTGACACGGGCTGCTTCCTGGGGGGTGGAGGCCTGGTCGAGGACCGGGCCGCAGGGACACTAAAAAGCCCCGAAATCATCTCAAGATAACCAAGATAACATGAATTTGCCACAAGTCCTCATCACAACAGCAATTACGATACTCATTACACACCGCATATCATTACACAATCGCCTCAGACGCCGAGACTTGGCCTAGCTATCAGACAATAAGAGCCAAGACTACACACTAAGATACCTGCACGCGTTACGCTGCTAACGTCTCCCGGCGGCGCTACACACCCTCCCCCACATCGGCTTCCTGGCCGCCTTCTGGAGGTTATCTTGAGATGATTTCGGGGCTTTTAGTGTCCCCGCGGCCCGGTCCTCGACCAGGCCTCCACCCCCAGGAAGCAGCCCGTGACAGCTGACTAACACCCAGGTACCTATTTTACTGCTAGGTAACAGGGGCATAGGGTGAAAGAAACTCTGCCCATTGTTTCTCGCCGGCGCCTGGGATCGAACCACAGGATCACAATTCCAGCGTGCTGTCCACTCGGCCGACCGGCTCCCTTGGCCTTACCTCAGAAAAGAAGGCCAGAATATTTATACCGCATAAACCGACACTTTCAGCACCAGACCAAACTTTCAGTCGCCAAATCAGAACTTTGACCACAAAAACATAATAGTAACCATTTTAGCGGTAAGTTGTGTGATTATGACTGTTTACCAACATGTAAAGCGAGAAAAGCCGTAGGAGCAATGATGAGAGTTCGAACCTATGTGGTGGACGTTCCCACACACACGCTTCAAGCGACTAGACCACATGGTATTAGGATTGTAACCTGGAGTTCTACTGAACCCACAAGGATTTCCTGAGGCTTCTACTGAAGCTAGAACAGGATTTCCACACAATCCCCCTATGCACTCTGGCTCTGTCATCTAGGAATGTTCTACCTCTGACGTTCCTCTTTCAATACAGACTAATCGCACTAAAATCCTTGTGGGTTTAGTAGAACTCCAGGTTACAATCCTTATTACCGAAAGGAATAAGGTTTTGACTATGAAAATTCTAATTTTGGAAACGAAAATAGAGTAAGTTTCTATCATCTCTCCAGGTAGCTAATAATAAAGTTGTAAGTACAAGGAACAGCAATAGTTTCAATATTTTCCCCAACAAATACAATTTTTAATATAAATTATTTAAAATATTTTATATTATTCAGGCAAAATTTACAAACTAAAAAAAATATCACCGCTCCACTTTAAAACTTAACAATGACCAACCAAATACACAGTATTTATTTCTATCGACAAAATCTCCTGCCATTCAAACCAGCGTCAAACTTTTTTTTTTTACAGTATGCAATAGTAAAAACGGTCGGGATAAAGCAAAAGCTATCGTCAAAATGGCCACCAACATCAAACACAATAAAGCTGCAATACCAGAATCAATGTCTGCAACAAGCACCATAACGAAATCGAAACGCTGAAAAAACAAGTGCCCGAAACTCAATTGTTTCGCCAGTCGTGCTCGAGCAAGGAGTCGACTGCTGGGAGAGAGCTTATGAAGGTGAGGGGAAGACTGAGAAGGTGGAGGAAGAAGGGAAGGAGGATTAGGAGGGAGGTGACGGGATACAAGAACGAAGATAAGAGGCAAAGATGTGGTAAGAGATATAAAAGAACACAAAAACCAGGCTTGTTTGTGATGTGTGTATATGTATGTATTAACACGATGTACTGAACGGGGTGAGAATAGCTTGAGCTACCTCATCCCTTTATGTGTATTTTACATGAATAAACTTATTTCAATTTCAAAAACCAGACTGAAGCACATTACCTACACTTCCTTTCTAAGAATGTACGTAAGTGTGAGTAGGACTGAACGATGCTCCAGACTGACCTCCCAGCACTGCCACCTAACACAGCCTGATTATACTATTGTATATCTCAAAAGTATACTTATAATGTCAATTTAAATTTGTACGAATAGAAAGCTGTATGAATCTTATATCTGTTGTAACAATTCTTCTGAATGTGTGGGTTAGAGGTGTAATTTTCTGCCGCGTTATTGTGACTTTTTGTCTGCTTTCCATATCTTTGTTTACAAACTTTGACATCAAGAGATGCAGTATTAAGTCTTAACAATTTCTAACTTATAAATAAAATTTTACGTATTGGCATTGAGAAATAATACAGCATCGCTATCATTCTAAATATTGGTAATGATAGATCTCTAATTATTATAATATTATTTTTCATTATTATAACAAGTCTAATCACGTTTCCTGTTTAACAGCGTTAGAATATTGCTGCAAGTTTTCACGCGATTTTGTTGAAGGTGAATCAAGTCACCTCCCGAGGGGAAGGGAAGGGGGATAATCTGTTAGCTCCTCTGACAGCCCGGGACATCCACCTGGAAGACTTCCTTACTATATATTATTATCAATACAACATGAAAAACGATTGACAACTTGAATCATTAAGCAGCTTCATTACGAGAGAGATAACTCCAACACGTGCGTCATGTCCTAAAACCTCGCAAACTTCACACTCTCGTAGCTTAACTCATTAAATAACAACCAACTTTCCCATTAAGATGGCTACGCCCGTCCTCCCGACGTGAACACACCTTCACATCATGCTATTATACACACGCATACCTACTCAGTTTACGATGCCTGGGCGTGTGCTTCCCACACATCAGGATACAATGCTCCCCCCCCAATTATTAACTCGCTTAAATTTAGGAGCTGTGGTTTGTCGTGTGATCATCCCGGCTGATTACTGACTTCTAGGACCCATTACATTTAGATCACTTACAGGAGACGGCCGGCACGACCGAGTAACAACGTGGCTCCCTTGTTCTCTCCAGGTGTGGTGCCTTGTACAAACACCTTCGTGTAACACAGACAATTTATTTTATATTTCACTTAACCCAGGTCTCATAACAGGTGTTAGTGTTGATCCATGTGATAATCCGTCTGCTACGTCCACCCTTCTCGTCACTTCCTGCTCACACGTACTCTCCCTTCCAGTAGATAGATATACGTACAAAATTTGGTTCAACATGCTTGAAGTGTTTCTTCATGAACATAATTATGGCACCTTAGATGCAGAGAGAGTGTGAGAGTGTGTGTGTATTTACCTAGTTGTGA